GAGGTGTCAGTGACTGCACCCTGACACCCCCAAACCCTGCCCCTGAGAGCCCTCTGGGATCCCCCACATCCCACACCTGGGTCATTGCACCCTGAGTACCTCAGACCTCCCCCCCCAAACCCCTGCCTTGAGATCCTGGGAATCACCCAGTCCAACCCCATCCCGAGACCCCATTTCCCTGCCCCACACCAGGGTCCCTGCCCCCCTCAGCTCCCACTTCACCCTGGACACCCTCTCTCCATTCTGTTACCTTCACCCAGTGTCCCACACCCCGACAGGGCCCAGGCACAGCCCTGCCACGTGTCCCCCCTGTCCCTGTGCCCCCCACCGCACCCCTCTCCTGGTGATCCTGGGCCTGGCGACAGCATCTCCAGGTCTGACACTCCTGGTTCCTCATCTTCCTCCTCCTCTTCCTCCTCCTCCTCCTCAGCCGTGGGGTCCTAGGGGCAAGGGGGCTCTGTGGGGTTGGGGGGGCACTGACCCCCCACCCTTTCCCATCCATGACCCCCTCTCACCTTCCACAAGTCCCCATCATTGAAGGTCTCGGCCGGGGCAAAGCTCGTCCAGGAAAGCTGCAGGGGGCTGGGTCAGGCTGCTCCATAGGGCAGCCCCACGGCAGCCCCCAGTCACCCCAGAGCACAGTATGGGAGGCCCATGGTAACCCCAAGAGCAGCCCACACCCCTATCACGGGTGCCCCATCTCCACAACCAGCCCAGCACCATCTGCGGGCACCCCGTGCCTACAGCCACCCCGTGCCCCACGGTGGCTGCACAGCCAGCTGCAGGCCCAGCCCAGCCCTCGCAGTCCCGACTCACGGTGGGCCCCTCGGTGGGGGTGCTGCCGTCCGAAGGGGTCTCGTGGGGCCCGCCGGGCGGCTCCCACTGGGTGGTACCAGTGGGGACGTGCCAGTAGTAGGTGCCCGAGGTGTCCTGCACCCGCAGCCAGCCGGGGGGCAGGTCCCCGTGTGCCCCCGCGCCGCACGGCCACAGCGACTCTGCAGGGCAGGGGCACGGGGTCAGCCCGGCCCACGCTGCCCCCCGTGCCAGGGACTCGGGGATGCCACGAGGGCTCCACAGGGACAAGGGGGAAAAGGGGGAACTAATGGGGCTGGGACACAGAATAGCGCCCAGGGGCTGGGGGAGCAGGAATGGCACCCGGGGGGCTGAGAGTGTAGGAGCGGGCACACCGCCAGGGACTAGGGGAGACGTGGAGCTGACAGGAGCACGGGGGCATGGCAGGAAGGAGCAGGCGGGGGCAGCCGTCGGGCTCTGTGGGGCAGCCAGAGACTGTCAGAAGCCTCCCTGGGGCAGCTGTGGGCCAGCGAGAGCTCACCGTGGGGCTCCATGGGGCAGCCATAAGTCGCGGGGGCTCCGCCGGTGCCCACCTGGCTCATCGGGGGAGCTGCCGGGGCTGCCCTGGCTCAGCGTGGCCCAGCTGGAGTCCTCGTCGCTGCCGGGGCCGGGCCCCCCGAAGAGGCGGCTGGCGCTGCGCCCCGGGGGCTCCCGCAGGCCCCGCTCCGCGCCCACGGCCGGCGGAGACGCCCCGGGCCCGTCCTCCTCCTCCTCGTCCTCCTCCTCATCTTCCTCCTCCTCCTCCTCCTCCGAGGCGCCGATCAGCAGGGCCCGCGGGTCCCCGGCGGCGTTCCGGGCGTTGCGGGCCCGCACCCCCGGCTGCAGCGCCCCGGGGCTCTCGCCGTGC